GCAACCACTTCTCTTGAGCTGGTGTAGTGTTCGCTGCTCCCATAAATAGCGGAGGCTTCGTTGATCAGAGCGGACTATGAATTGCCGCCCTAGTAGATACGCCCGCCATTTCTTAACTGTCAACACTAAAGCAAGCATCTCTTTCTCATAAGCGGATGCAATGAGATTCTTCCCATGAAGGGCTTGGCTAAAGAAGGCCAATGGTCTCTGATTCTGCATAAGAACTGTTCCAACTCCCACGCCTGAGGCATCACATTCAACAATAAAGGGCTGCTGAAAATTGGGAAGGGCAAGGACTGGAGCCGTGGTCATTGCCTGCTTGAGGTGCTGGAACGATGCTTCACTCGCTGTTTTCCAAACGAAGTTGTTCTTCTTCAACATGTCGGTAAGGGGTGCTGCAATTTTCCCGTAATCACGTATGAACTTCCTGTAATACCCTGTTAAACCCAGAAAACCTCGCAAGGCCTTGAGTGTTTTGGGTAGTGGCCACTCGCGCATAGCTTGAATCTTGTCTTGATCTACTGCAACTCCTTCAGCAGATATTAAGTGTCCCAAGTAGTGAACTTTGGATTGAAGGAAGTTGCATTTCTCTTTTTTTACATATAATTGATGTTCATGAAGCTTTTGGAAGACAATCTCCAGATGTTTCAAATGTTCTTCAGTCGTCGGCGAGTAAAGCAAAATGTCATCAAAGAACACAAGTACAAATTTTCTTAGGAAGGGTTTGAATACCTCATTCATGAGTGACTGAAAAGTGGATGGAGCATTGGAGAGGCCGAATGGCATCACCAAAAACTCATAGTGGCCTTGGTGTGTCCGGAATGCAGTTTTTGGCACATCTTCAGAAGCAACTCGAATTTGCCAATACCCCGACCTGAGGTCCAGCTTGGAGAATACTTTGGCGCCATGGATTTCATCTAACAGCTCGTCAATGACCGGGATTGGAAACTTGTCCTTCACTGTCATTTGATTCAATGCCCGGTAATCCACGCACATTCTCCACGAACCATCTTGTTTCTTAACCATCAAAACAGGAGACGAGTAAGGGCTTTGGCTATTCCGAATAATACCTGCCTCCAGCATCTCAGCAATGAGTTTCTCGATCTCCTCCTTCAAGTATGCAGGATACCGATATGGTCTCACACAGACTGGTCCACTCCCTGGTTTGAGGGGAATTTGGTGATCATGTGAGCGTGGTTGGGGAAGCCCTTGTGGTGGCTGGAACAGCTTATTGAACTGGTGAAGGAGCTGTCCCAACTCGACGAATTCGGTGACTGGTTCGTCCTTGTTGGGGGACTCTGATTTAGCTATAGCTACCATTAGTAACCCTTGCTTGCAGCCACGTGCTTCTTTCATCCATGTTGTCTCATCCACAATCTTGTTGTGCAGAGAGTGTCTACCCTTTAACTCCATTTCCCGTCCCTGAAAGTGGAACTTCATGGTCATCTTGGTGAAATCCCAAGTGATGGGACCCAATGATCGCAACCACTGAGTTCCAAGTACAACATTGCAACCCTCTAATGGTAGGACGTAAAAGTCAACCACAATTGATACCCCGGGAAACTTGACTTCAACTCTGGGACACTTCCCTGCGCACGGTATCTTGCTGCCATCTGCCACCGACACTTCAAGCTTCCCTCCTTGGATGGTCAGGCCAAGTTTCTTTACAGCTTCAAAACTCAAGAAATTGTGGGTGCTGTCACTGTCTATCAGCACCAATCTACATGGTCCTGTCATCATTGGCTCCAGTGATTGCATACATGGAGATTCCCACAGCATCTTGAGGTTCAATTTCCATCTCCGCATCACCATCTTCATCGGACCAAGTCCCTTCAATGAAGAACAACCTCTTGCAGCGATGCCCTGGTCCAAACTGCTCATCACAATTAAAACACAAGTCTTTTTCCTTCCTCTCCTTTATCTCAGCCGGAGACAAGCGCTTAATGGGCAGGTTCCCGGATGATGAGGTCGATTTTCTTTCAGTGGGTCTGGGTTCCATGTATCCTCCTCCACTCGTTGTGCCTACTCGTCGAGCAACTGCTTGTTTAGATGCGGCCTTCTGCTTATACAAACGAGCCAAACCAACAGCGACGGTGAGATTTGTTGGCTTGCAGGCGACAACGTCAGAGCGAATCTCGTCCTTCAACCCACTCACAAAGCGGCTAACTTGTTGAGCTGGCAATAGATTACCTGCACGTACGAGAAGTTTCTCAAACTGAGTTTGGTACTCTCGTAGATTAACTTGTCACCATATCCGCTCCCAAAGAATATCCCCTCAAGTTCTAAACCTTCAATGCTTAATTGTACGTACTTCTATTTTGATCGGACTAGATCGACTTCGAATCAAATCAATCTTTCTAAACAGAATCAAATAATCTCATATTATGATCAGATTGGCTTTAACTGTTTTTGTTCAATCTCAAATTGAATTCTATTTGAAATGTCAAATTTTTCATAATGCACAACACATCGATACAGAGGAATTACCACAAAATTGTAGGCAGCCAATTCAGAATATATATATATGGTAAAGGTGCTAGTTTTATCTGTCATTCATTCATCTTCATTAACAACACTACTCTCGCTGCTGAATAGGCACAACTTCTTCACCTTACAAATCTTCATCAGAAAGTGCCCCCCAATTGCACCAAGAGTCATGAGCCCAGTCACCAAAAGAACAGTCTTTGTAGCAACCACCAAGATGATCACCAAGAACCCAGAAGGAATCAAGCACATCACAATCAGCCCGGGCAGGCGCATGGGAACCTTGTAGGGCCTCTTCTGCTCGGGGAGCTTCCTCCTGAGCCAGAGGAACGTCGCGAACTCGAGCAGCATCCCAAGGGTGTAGAGGAGGTTCGCGGACGAGATAATATTGGCAAAGTCCATGTAGGAGCAACCCAGGATGATCGCTGTCGACAGCAGTATCCCGACCCAGGGAGTATTGAACCGGTTGGACCTGAGGGCAAAAAACTTGGGCAGGATCCCGAGATCGGCCATGCCGAGCAGCTGGTAGACAGAGCTGCTGAGCTGGGCCTCGAACATTCCGACCGTGGACAGCGCGGAGCCGATCTCGAGGCAGTACTTCAACCATTTCCCGCCTATGAGCTCTGCAGCCGTGGCGTGGAACCCGAATCCCCAGGCGGATTGTTCAACTGAGACGGCTCCGATCACCGCCAAGAGAGGGATTAGATAGGAGAGGCAGGTCACTATCACGGTGATTAGTAGCGCCAGTGGGAATGTTTCTGCTGGCTTCTCCACTTCCTCGGCTAGTGTGCTAACACTGTCCCAGTAGCTGAGGTTCCAAAAAAGGGTGTTGAAGAACATATTCCAGTCCTTGTTCATTCCTTGGTCGCCCAGACTGATCCATCTACGAGGTTGAATCTTGGGAATTGCGAGGATGGACATGATTATGAAGGGCGAGAAGGACAAGATTCCGAGAAGCACGGAGAGGTAACCTACTATGACCAATCCGGTGTAGTTGAGGAATGAGAGGAACAAGGTCAAGCCCCATATCGAAATGGTCCGCGGCCAGTCTGATTGTAGAGCTGGGATCACCTGGCGCACCAATTACACAAAACGCAAAAAGTAAACCTCTCAGTTCAACTAAAATCATCAACGGGGAACTTACGACTTACGAGGGCAGAGCAAAGGACGGCGAAAACATAGATGAAACAGAAATAACATGTAAATGTGCGTTGAAAGTCAAAATATTTACTTTGTATACACATACACATGAGCTTGCAGCACTTGCCGACGGACTCAACTTTTTTATTTATTTATCTCCACTTATAAAGCTTTTAAAATATGTAAAAAATTCTTATTTATTTTTTAATCTAACTATACTAATATCAACATATTTTTTGTTAGTAAGGGTGAATATTGGTGTATTGAGTGGGTTATTCCACAAAATCAATTCTTCATCTAATTATTAGGCAACTAATTAACATTTACAATAAGTTTCCTGTTGAAAGAGAAAACAAATACTCTTTATGCATATCGACTTCACTTCTTTAGCAAAAATATCAAATCTTGATTAAAACCATCAATCAATGCATGGTAGAGAAAATTGACGTTTTTCGCGAATATCATACAACAAATTATATGTAATTTAAGTATATATCATTCTAAAATGGACATTACATAAGAAATTAAGAATATTAATTAATCCAAATATTTTCTACCTACAACTCCAAAAAAAACAATAGTGGATGATGAGTGTATGGTAATATGAATACTAGGTCCGATCCGTACGTACGTACCTTGTTGAGGTAATCGACGCAGAGGACGAGTAAGGCGGCGACGTTGATTACGGTGGACAGGAACTTCAAGCAGCCCATCAGGGAGCCGCAGAAGGGCCCGAAAGCGCGGTGGGCCCAGATGACGAATCCGCCGTTGCCCGGGTAAGCAGTGGAGAGCTCGGCGGTGATGAGGGCCTCCGGCACGCTCCACACGAACGGGAAGATGAGGAAACCGAGGATGGCGTAGAGAGGTCCGGCGGCTTGGACGGCGGGTTCCTCGCCGTATGGCCCGCCAGCGACTTGGAAGTAGATGATGAAAATCAGAGGGAGCAGAGTCAGCTGCTGCTGCTTCTTCTTCTTCACCATCGTCTTCGTGGTGGTGCTAATTTTGGGGAGCTGTTGCTGCTGCTGTGATGGTGATGACGAGATTTCATGATCCATGCCAGCAGCTGTGGACTGCGAGTGAGGTTGATCTTCATGATCAGCTGATGATGAGTTCATTGGAGCAGATCCAGTGATCATAATAACAATAATTATGATTGTGTGCAAGTGAAGAAGCTAATTAAGCAGGGTAAATAAAAAGGAGTACAGTACAGACTGGTGCATGTCTGGTGGGATGTGAAATCAATATATGTGGAAGTGAGGAATCATCCATTTCTAGCTAGCTAAGAATTGCAGTAAACAACAGCCGTCCGTAAAGACAAGCTATTGCACTATTTGAAACATACAGTACATAGTAGGCCATGCAAAACTTGGCGCCATATTGATTTGTATTCGTGACGCACGCTAGCTAGCTAGCTAGCTCATTCGATTGAAAATGAAGTTAACGTAGTACCATATATGATATGATATATGCAGCCTAGCTAGCTAGGAGATGATAGGTTGGGCGGTTAATTATTGGGTCCCTCCCTCCCTCCGAATTAACCCTTGTTGTGTGTTATCTTGAAGTGACTTGTCGGCAGTGTCCATGAAACCGTACCGTATCGACGGTTCAACCACGAAATACCAATATCAGAGGCTAAACCGATAGGCGGTATTACCGGTATAACGGTTGAACTACGGTGAAACCACAGTTTTACTATAAAATACCCTACCATTAACTTTCCCAGTACGGTTTCATGGACCATGCTTGTCAGCCGTTAACACGGGTTGTGTCGGGTAGGTGATCAGTTGAACATTAACACGTGTGTGCTTAAGACCATTCATTATGGTTGGGAGGGGGAAATGGGTGGGTTGGGGTGGAATTTGGGTTTGTGGGTGGAAAATCTCATAATGGGTTAGGAGGGAAAAGTGGGAGGGTATTTTGTGATGAAATCAATCTAGTATTGATTTTGTCACTTTAGTTAAATAATTTGATCATTCTTTTTATATAGGTAGTAATAATTAATTAAAATAAATATTGTAATAAATTTCATTTTAATTTGGACATAATTTTTTTCGTCATTAATTAAATATGATGTCATCAATAATTTGATCATTCTTTTATATATGAAGTCATCAATTAAAAAAATTCTATTGGAAAATATAATCATTTAAAAATATGACGTTGAAATTTAATAATGATCGTTAGATGCATCTACGGTTTAGAAAATACAATAACTTTAAAAAAAAACAAAAACAAAACAAGAACAAAAAAAGAGTGGGCCACACCACTCCTTCCTTCCCTCCTTTTGTTCTCTTGAGTTGTGAGGATAAATCCACCCACTTCCCCTCTTTCTTTTCGTTCTTTCCCTCCTTTTCCCCCTCCACTGTGTAGGGGTGGACATTCAGTCGGTTCGGTTTCGACCGAACTGAAACCGAATCGAAATTATGAATATCGGGTCCTCGAATTCTCCCAAATCTCAAAACCGAATTATAATTCGGTTTGGTCGGTTTAAACTTAATTATAATTTGGTTCGGTTTTTCACACAAAATCGAATTTGTGAAGCTACTTGTATCTTCTCACTTTTAAATTATTTTTTACCCCTAATATAAACAATAAATATGAAATTATATGCATCATCAATGATAAAATCAAACTTTTCAACCCATAAGTCATAAAACATTTCAAATATTTAAGTCTAAAAACATAAAAGTTCACCATTTGGAGCTTGCAATTATAGTATTTCGGTTTTTCGAACGAAAATTCCGAAATTCGGTTCGGTTGAAAGAATCCTGGTTTTCGAACTATCCGTATTTTCCTTCCGAATTCCGAACAGAATAACATTAATTCGGTTTATTTTGATTTCGATTCGATTCGGGTTTACCGAACCGATTGCCCACAATGAGGCCTTTTCTTATCCTTTCTTTCCCTTCTTTTCCCACCCCATTGTGGGTGGTCTAAGCCTTGTACCTATCTACATGAGGGGAAGGATTATTTAGTGTTTTTCCTTTCTCCTTTTTCCTTTTGTTGAGCATCATCACAATTGAACCCAAACATTAATTAATATATAAAAGTCTAGGTTGTGAGTTACCACGAGTTTTGTATCGGGACCGAGTTTCATCCTCTTTAGTGTTTTTTTCTTTCTCCTTTTCCTTTTTGTCAACCATCATCACAATTGAACCCAAACACACGAGTTTGTATCGGGACCGAGCTTTATCCTCTTTAGTGTTTTTTCTTTCTCCTTTTCCTTTTTGATGACCATCATCACAATTGAACCCAAACACAGGAGTATCCTAACTTGAACCCAAATCTTCGCATTTTCGCACCATTTCGCAACACAGCTCGAGTGACTGTCGGTGGAATCCTGAGTTGTCCTCTTCCACCGTTTGCCATGGCCGCGACCAAAGATCCATACTAGATATGCTTTATCCAATCCTCAAAATCACTCACCAATTCACAAGCTTCTCAAAACACTTTCAGCGGAATCCTATGTTGCCCCCTACACCGTTTCCCAATGCCGCTACCGAAAATCCATACCAAATCTACTCAATGTTGGCGAGTTTTGTATCGGGACCGAGTTTTGTCCGCTTTAGTATTTTTTCTTTCACTTTATCCTTTTTGTTTACCATGATCACAATTGAATCCAAATCCATGGGTATCCAACCTAATTCAATTCGGTTCAAAGCGACTTGAAACTGACTTTAGTATTTATTAATTTCTCTTTTTTTTTTTGGTTGGGAAGACAATTGAACCCGAATCTAAGTTATTAACGAGTGTTGTATTGTGAACGAGTTTTATCTGCTTTTGTAGTTGGCAGGTAGAACCAAGTGTTAATTTGTTAAAAAATTGGTCAAAGTGAGTTGAACACATTGTTGACCATTTTAGATCGATAGCGAGTTTTGTACGCCTTAATATTTTTTTTATTTCTCATTTTCCGTTTCGTTGAGAATGACAACAGAACTTTGACCTATTGTTGACGAGTTTGATATCGAGAGCGAGTTTACTTTCTATAAGGAGCATTTACTATCTGTACAAATCTACAACTGTTCTATATTATGCGTATACTCTGTAGTCTGTTCTCTACCAGCAATTTTCCAACTTTGCAAGCTAAACTCACAGAAACTGCAAACTACATCACTTACTTCCCTTGGAATCAATCACTCTTCACAGGCCTAGATGCAGCCATCAAGACAGCAACTTTACACACGAGAAACCCCAATATTCCCACTACCAGTTCCTTTGGAGACACTAGAGAAGGATCAATATCTCCAAACCCATATTGAGCGGCTGCTAAAGGCAGTCCTAACCCCAAAGCCAAACCCACTACTGGTCCCTTAACAACTCTCCGCTTCCAATCCACCCACAGACCTTTGCAGCAACAACAGGTAGGAGAAACCACACATCCCTCCAATCAGGAATGCAACAGCAGAATTTTTGCCAGCTGAGAAGTTCAAAATCAGTGTACCACCGAGAATAAGCATTGCGTCGTAGGATAGCGATGACAGTTTCAAATCTGCATATTCTCTCATGCTTTCCTCATTGGAGATCTTGCTACTAGTTGATGAAGTAGAACTTGTAGTTGATATGGTGAGAGGATCTGATAGCTTGGAAATCTGACGAGATCTAATTTCTACCATAGATAAATCATCTCTCTCTCCAAGCAAAATGTCAGCAGCATCAAATTCATAATGGAAACCAGAAAATGGAACTGTTGTTTCTTCGTCCACTCTGCTCGACCAAGGTTGAGGACCATTAACTTCAGTCAGGCTCGCGCTAGTTAATCTCAATTGACCTGACATCAGATATTCAAGAATTAGCAGAGAGAACGGGTAACATTTTCATTAACACACGTCATCTGCTGATGCAGAGTTAACATTTACCTGGCATAAAATCAATTTCAGTGACTCTGGCATATGAAATAGATACCAAAATACTAAATTTTAATTAGAGTTGCATGACAACTATTGCGGAAATACTGTTCAATTAGCCAAGATATAGAATCTTACTTGAATCAACCCCAATCCACAAAGCTTCAACTCTGCCCAGTTGAGGTCCCTCGAAGAAGAACTCGTCAGTGGCACCTCTTTAGAAATGGACTGCTTCAGACTCGATAATGTCTTCAGAGTCTGCTAAACTGTTATTTGAAATGGAAGGTATCCTCAGTAGTACTGCACTACTAGTATCATCGACCAAGCACAAGAGCATTTTTATCATCTAGACCTGACCCATGCATGTTGCTTGTCCGTAGCTTTACCTTGTAGAGAGCAGCACAATCGCCTGCATTGAACGAAGACGAAATACTTCGCTCCCATGATGTCTCAGTGCAGAGTTTCGGTTCTGCAACCCCTAGAAGCCGTGAAGGCTTGGCATACTCGCTAAAATCTGTGGAAAGGATAACGCTTTAGCTTCATTTTGAGACCATAATGAAATAGTTCGGCTTCTGTACAATATCATGGAATCAGATCATCATCAAGATATATCAAAGGTAATTGGTTAAGAACCCCCAAAGTGTCAAAGAAAGTTTACATTTTTAAGAGCTCAAAATTGGAAATTCCAATTGTTAACACTCACAATTATTGCTCAAGCTGGCAACAGCCAAAGCACAGCAGCACACCTCTACAAACAATTCTATCATTAGGTAATATAAACAAGCTTTTCTACTTTGGGGGATCATGGGTTCCACCACAATCACTCTAGTTCAGTAGGGAATATAAACAAAAGGGCGTTGCAAGGAAGAAGAAACCATTGAAATCACAGAAACAATAACAGTGAGTAAGTCATATATAGCCTGGGAAATCAGATCGCCTGTAGTTCTTGAGAGTCGCGAGTTGGTACCGTTTGCTGAATTGGCGCCGAAGAATACGCCGTTCTTTTAAGGGGGAACTGCTTTATGTCATAGATTCTGCCATTCTTCGGAGCAAAGGGTACTTGGCCGAGGGTAATCGACTCCATTTTCGTCGCCTCCTGCAAATTGTAGTTTCTTGCTCACCGGCCACCGCTTGGCGTGGGTGATAAAACGAAGTCGGAGGGAGACCCGTCGGTTGGGTAGGATGTATGGAATTGGACCAAATCGGTTTCGGTTTTGTTTTGGTTGCCGCGTGCGAGTTCAAGACTAGACTACTTTTCGGACAATTTCTTAGCTACATTTTATTGATACCTTTTTTTTTTATTATCAATAAATTAAAATTATGTGGCGTATAATAAGTGATCAATGTAACCGTAAACGCTACTCATAAAAGTATGTTGATACCAAATGAGCTAAAAAGAATTAGAAATTGGTCATCTAACCCCACCAATCCAACCTAATGTCCACCAATCTTACAAGTTAAATACCAATCTGATCCTCAAACTTCCTTGTATAAGTTAACTTCGACATCGATCGGTTCATCTAAAAAGAAAAAGTTGAATTGGACATTAAACTTTTTTGTGCAGGCTATGATGAACCGTCCACAAAAGCATTTTACTAGTTAGTTGCTGTGACAACCTCGTCCATATAAATTGTTAACAAGCATAATTGAAGTAATTTTAGTGCGGAACTAGTAGCAAAATTTCGTATAAAATAGATCACAAGTATGAATTTGATTAGCATGTGTGTAATTTAATTTTAATTGGATCAGGTTGAGATAATTTACAATTTAATTTTCCTTCTCGATCTTAAATATTGTTTTAGATCTGATCGGATCCTTGGAAAAAACCTCAAACTTAATCTTTGGTGTGTTATAAGATAAGAGTTTTTTGCTCAATTGGACAAATATAAGTTATCTTAGTGACCAAATCTACATTTTACCACCCCCGACCTTGCCGGTCAATACGATATATAAATCTCAGTTCTCCCCAAGTCTGTCAATCAAATCAAAGAAAGCTCGCAAACACAAAGATGGCGGCCAAACTTCAACTTCCATTCCTAATTAATGTCTCTCTCTTCTGCTTCATCAGTCTATCACTCTCCGTCCACCAAGGCCAAGGCCAAGGCCTCTCAGAAATTCACGACCTCCTTCCCCAATACGGCTTCCCCGTCGGACTTCTCCCCGACGGCGTGAAATCCTACACACTCTCCCCTTCCGACGGTACCTTCACCGTCCGCTTCACCACCCCTTGCGACGTCCGATTCGCCGGATACCTCGTCCATTACGACAAAGAAATCGGAGGCAAGCTCAGCAAAGGCGCCGTCCGCGATGTATCGGGAATCACCACCAAGCAGGCCTTCTTCTGGCTCTCCCTCAGTGCGATTGAGGTCAGCGGCGATGGCGACATCGAGTTCTTCGTCGGACCATTTTCGAAGAAGCTTCCGGTGAAGGCGTTCGAGAAGATTCCTCAATGTCAAAAAAGCAAGGCGTCGGCTCTCTGGAGGCCGCTCTTGGGATCGATTTGAGGTTTGTTTAGTATTATGAGACATTATAATATATTTTATATATTGGGGATCTCGTGGCCTTTCTTATTTATTCTGCATCGCAAACCCTCTATTGAACAATGTAGCTCGCTCGCTCGCATCGGTTTGTTTGGAATGGAATGGATCTTATTCTTATGTGCACATGTAGTGTTCAGAATCGAAACCAATCTGTTAGAGTATAAATAAACAAGGAAAAAACAAGGAGGTAAATTGATCATTTAGAGTTTATGTGGTAGTTGAATTTGATTTGATTCATACTAGAAAAAATTAACATCAATTTTGGTCACTCGAATTACTAAAATAGGTCACATTAGTCAATTTTCCGTTAGCCTCCATCCAACTCCGGTCACTCGATTTTTTTTATTTTATGAATGTCACTCGAATTACTGAAAAATGTCACATTTAGTCACTCTCCGTAATGTGACATGTTTCAGTAATTCGAGTGACCAAAATTGATATTAATTTTGTCTAGTGACTAAACATGACATGTTTTAGTAATTTCAGTGACCAAATATGGCATTTACCCCTTTTTCTTGATTTTAGATACCGTTTGGTATAAATGAATTCCATAAGTTTTGAGTAATTCATTTTGAAATGCAACATTTTTGTGTTTGGTATTTAAAAGAATTCATTTTTAATTCTAAATTTTGAATTTTGTGGAATTGGAACTAGTTATAGCAATTCCGAGGAATTTAGATGGAATTTTCAAATGAATTCCACAAGTATTTACTAATTTTAATAGAATGATATAATTATCCTCTTTTATTGACTAAATTACTTATACATATGAATACCAAACACAGAAATTCATTTGACAATGAATTCTACACAACAATTCATTCTATTTTAAAGATTTGGATATAACATACCAAACATAAGATTTCATTTGGCAATGAATTCTACATGATAATTCATTTTACAATAAAATGAATTCTCGATTCATTTGATACCAAACGGTCTGTTAGAATAATTTCATAAACTCAAAATCGAATTCGATATGGACATATTATTCATTAGATTTGATTCAATCTGTTGCAAACATAATTGTTACCCATCTTAGTCAATACTCAATAACCAATAACATGATTGTAAATGACTCAAGCATCATGTGTTTCCTAACTCTAGTTTGATAACAATTTGGTTGTCTAACTTTAACTTCAACCGATTAAATATTTGAGATAAAGAAGCTTGTGCAGATAATAGAACAGTATTCAGTTTGATTTCTTCTATCAATTCAATTCAATGATATTTCAGATTATTATGAATTTATTGTCTCGGTCAACCATATATATTTGTAAGTATCATTTTGCCAATATGCAAGCATGCTATATTTACCTCGTAAACTATTTGTCTTGTTTAGTAACTCTTATCTATTTTCAAAATTTTGATAATTTGTTGACAATACTTTTATCTATTTGTTGGATGCTCAATATGTCTTTTTTACATGGATGTTGGATTTAGAAGTCCAATATGTGGTTTATCATAATACATAAAAATATTGCTCTACGTAAATAAAATATGCATCATCCTTGAATTTTGAATATTTGTATTGATTAAAATTTATAGTGAAAAATATTTGTTTACCGTTCACAGTTACGTACCTTCTGTCCATATCCTCATCTTTAACAAAAAGGGGGAAAAGGAGCTCTTAACAAGATTTCCCCCTAAGAATTATCTTTCTTGTGTTCCGATCCTTTAGCAAATTGGTTGTAAAACCGCCAACATATTATCTCCTGTTGGATTTCTATCCCTTGTAAAACATTTTTCTATCCCCTGCTTTACATGATTTTTCTTATCTCTTGTGTCTTTGAGTCCTTGTGAGGTGTAGCCGTAATTGTTGTGGCCCCTTCACTTGTTACCTATGTTATCCGCAAGGATTGCTTGACAAAAAAAAAAAAAAAAAATCTTTCTTTGGAGGCAGCATTTTCAGGTACCCTAAACCCAATATATTCCACATTCTACAAGTTGATTGATTTATTTCTTTTTCCTCTTCGGAAAGCAATTCATTGATTGTTGGCTCATTGGCTCAAGTAATTAAGCAACAAAGAAGGTAGTACTTGCGATTTATGTTGATGATCGATGTTAGGGACTTATGTTGTCTTCTCAACATGAGGACCTCGTCATATAATCTTGACTCTCGTGTTTGCATAAATCATGTTACGATGATCATAAGGTTCAAATGTGATTGCAAGATATTATTGTGGGTTTTACAACCATAATATATAGGAGAATTGAAAGAGAAGCATTTTAGCAAATCCCTACGATTATTTGGAGAAAATTAAAGAAGGGTTACGTTGCAGCATCCATTGAGAGCATTCTCGGTGGGAGCTCAAACATCGCTTTCGACGGAAAAGGTGAGAGATGATTCTTTTTCTTCCTACAACAACAAAACACCTCAAAGCACCGTGACTTGTGTTTACCAGACCCATGTTGCCGGCTATTGGCGGAATATCACAGTGACGTGGGGGAAGAATTGAACCAGCTCATGAACTCCATCTCCCTCAACCTCGTCATCATACAGCTGTTTCAAGCTCGACCTGAAGCCATGGCATTTTTGGAGCAAAAGAGGGAGCAAAGGGTTCGAACTCCAAGGCAGCAGCAATATAGAAATCCATTGGGATCTCCGTCCGTTCAGCCAAATTCATTGGTACCTGCCCCGAGCCGGCCGGTGACTACTACGTCACTGTGGTATATATGTGATGAAGAGATCGTTTTGCTATTAGGCAGGTGACTCCAAGAAGAAGGCATATATACAAGAGGACCAAGGCAAGACCAACTCTTGTGGAAGCGGTTTTAGTTTCCAAGAAGGAGAATGTTTTTGCCAAGAAATCGATCATTTGCAACGAGAGCTAATTAAGTTGGACGAGAAAAAACATCAAGAGCATGACATTATCATCGACAACTCTACCAGCTCGGGCCTCAAAGATCCTGAATTGTGGATAAGCATGCATAGATGGGCTTGTAGTGGTTAATGTCAAGAATTTGCAGTGGAAGTTTAGAGGGAATCAAGTGGTGACGGTGAATAAACAACCTGTACGTTCAGATATTTTGGGATGTTCATGATTGGTTGTACAATATTGGCGGAGGAGGAGGAAGCAACAACGGTAATGGCGGGGGTAGTCAAGGTTTGTTCACATTCAAGCCTGGGGCTCCCGGGATGGAACTTGGAAGAGGATGATTGCGATAGTCCTCACGGGGACGCCAATAGCGATGTGAGTGATGGTACCTATTTCTCCACCAATGGGGTTTTTGTCTTCTCCTTTTTGCTTGGAAAATTGAATAGAACATCATAAATTCAATGATTGACTGAATTTATATGTAGATTTATTGTTACTTAATTTTATTTGTTTGAATCGATTCCTTTCGCTTTTGCTTAAGTTAAGTCCATTTAATTGATTTGGTTAATTTGGAATTATTTTAATTCTACGTTTGTCTTCGAAAAGAAAATGCATGTATTTAAATAAATTAGTATTATAAACGCGCTGCTACGGATCGGGAAATCGTTGAAATCGACAAAGCAAGAATACGAAAGCGAGAATCGAAAATACGACACACGATTTACGTGGTTCACTAACACGATGTGTGTTAGCTACGTCCACGGGCGAGAGAGAGCCAATTTCACTATATCGAGGAGATTACAGATTACAGAGGAGTATGAGAAGTATTTATAGTACTTCTCCATGTGAGACCCCCGACTACCAGTCGTAGCGACTGATAGTCCGATTCAAGTCACATCAACAATTAGAAAACGGATCTTTCAAATAAATGCGAGTAAGATGGGTATTATTAAGGTCTTTGCCTTTCAAATATAAACTGAAACAAAAAAGTAAAAAGTTTGTAATCCTCGTATTGTTTTCTAAGACAGCCGGAGCTGCTTGAAAATTAAACAGTGTTGAATCAATGATGACGTCGAACGGTAAGTTGTTCTATTTTGTGATCGATGTATGACCAATTGTGAAGTTATTGTACAATGTGTCTGAAAACCAAGTATACTTTGTGTACTACCGCTATCTTGAATTTATACACATGAATTGTGGTGGATCATAAGTCAATGTATAAATTTTAATTATGCTAATTCCCAAAAGACGTATAAGTTTTTTTTTATAGGGAAAAAGACATATAAGTTTGCTTACACGATAAGTAGATTGTGAGTTTTATTGAAAGATACATATTAGAAGTAAGAAAAGTACTCATTTTACTTGAAAGATAATGATGAAATGCTTGATCGATTCTATTATATAGGCTTGGAAAATGGTGCGGTCATGTCCAAACCAGATCATATATACGGTCTAAGATCCAGATCGAGAGGCTGAAGTATAGGCCACAGACCAGACTGTAGACTTTACGGTCCGGTCCAGACCACGCCTGTGCGGTCTGGTTTGGTCTGGTCCAGATAGACCACACTCAACTAAAAATGAATAATTTGTTTAGTCAACCACACAAAAATTGAACCAATAACCAAGAAAAATAATTGTTATTTGCCTTAAAACATTAATCCTAACATGCAAGAATAATTTTGATACCCTAAATCTTAGTACATAACAAAGATACAAAGTAAAAGCATCTCAACTTGGACCATAAAATCATAAACATTAATATAATGTGATATGAAGACACGAATATCTCTACTCTCTGGTTAAATGTGATTGTGAATGAAGGAGGGACGAGATTCACAAAACTAAGATTTAGACTTTGGTGTCGTTGTGGGAGTTGAGAGAGTGGTCGAATGAGTCGTTAACACGTATTGACAAGTTGGTTGGATCCACGGTTTGGTCCGGTAAGCCACGGTCTAGACCAGACCAAGAGATCAAAACATAAAATAATGCAGACCATGGACCAAACCAGACCATACTTAACTGTCTACGGTCTGGACCAAACTGTGCGGTACGGTTTGGACACGATTTTTCTAACGGTCTGGTCTATTTTCCCAGTCCTACTATTATATACATACATACAAAAACGTAGGCTGCCCAAATTTACAC